ATGTCCTTAAAATGAAGTCTGAGTTCGACATTTTAATTCATGTCCTGCCAACACTGGCAGGACAGAAGGCGACACGCCAGTTCTAAGCCGTTTCCCTCACTCCTCACATCTCAAGCTGCATCCCCAAAATGTTTATTATGTTGTTGCATCGTTTCAGATGTTATGTTTCAGTTGTGCTCTTGATAAGCCATTAAAACAGTAAAAACACGTTCAGTTTCCTTTTGCTTTTTGTGTCTCCTGTTCACCAAAACATACCATCTGTGAGGGAAAAAGAAAGTAATCCAAAAGTAATCTAAAAGTAATCTGATTACGTTTTTTAAGACGCGTGTAATTGTAACTGTATTCGGATTACTTTCAGAGCCATGTATTTAGTAATCAGTAACTGATTACATTTACAAAGTAACCCTCCCAACCCTGTATATATGCTATGCTCTGACCGTTCCACTTCCTGCCTGCCCGACCTTACGTTACGGCTTCGCCGCGTAATAAATAGGATTCATCCTAATTTTAGAGGAGCCCTGCCCCGAGGCGCTTCTGGGACGCTTCTGGGACGCTTCTGAGCAGTAACGCGCCGCGTGTGGTGGAATAGCACCCATTGACTAGAGTGGCCGTGAGCACCGTGAGCACCGTGAGCACCGCGGCGCAGCCGTAATGCGCCCGTAAAGCGCCTCAGACGGACCCGGTGGAATCTAGGGGTTAGTTTTGCTTGATTCTGAGAAAGTGCTTTATCTTAAAGACGCAAAACTAATACCATATTATTTGGATTTTGTGTCACAGATACTTCTACTCCACTACATTTTGGAGGAAAATATTGTACTTTTCGATGTATAGAACACTAGTAGTAACACACTAGTTTTTACAGACTATGATTATATGATATGATGCAGTATTACTAATATACAAAGTATTTAAAAAAAAGTATCTACAATTGGCTCCACTTGGAAAAACTACATGTTCAAAATGCTTTGTATTTATTGATGATAAAAAAAAAAATTAGTACTCTATAATGATGTAATACTTTGAAAAGAGCCATTCTGCACATTGATTATATACTTTTGATACTTGAATTACATTTAACTGATACAACTTCTGTTCTTCTATTTGAGTTACAAATAGAAGAACATATCTTAAATGATTTCACCTCCAAATGACAGTCTTGTAACCAAATGAAAGTGGCCATATTATGCTCATGTTCAGGTTCATATTTGTACATTACATTACTGTCACTTAGACACTTTTATCCAAAGCAGTTACTTCAAACTTGTTTCAGTTGTTTAAATACTTTGAGAAGCCCACACAGGAAAAATTTGGGGGGTCTTGCCCAGTGACACAACATGATGACTGCAGTGGGGATTTAACCAGTGCTCCTCTGATCCGAAGAACTCACCAGCCCACTGAGCCAAAGCCTCCCTTTGTATTCTGTCCCTCTACTGTGACATGTCTCCATGCAGTGGCGTAACTATCGCCGGTGCAGCCGGTGCAACGCATTGACCGGTTCAAACAGTCTTCACAGTAACCAAGCAACCTAAATTAATTTGTAATTTGTCTGTCCAATGACCTTGCTCCCTTTCATGTCATGTGATACCTTGCGTGACGAGTGAACCGTTTAATCAACCTGTACTGTACTGTAGCTAGCAGCAGCAAGTTCGGCAGCATTATAAAAAATGTAATAGCTTGCATTTATAATGTACAGCAAACCAAAGCACAAGAGCGGCGCTCAAGAGAAAGGACAAGAGAGAGTGTATGTCCGTGCGTGTGTGAGCGCATCAGCGTGTGCTTATGTTTGGGGCGATGGGCCAAATCAATATGTGCACCGGGGCCAATCACAACCTTGTTACGCCACTGTCTCCATGCTTTAATGTTCAACATTTATTTTTCTCATACTGCCTGTGCTGCAGCACCTCTTTCTTACCTCTTTCTCTTTCTTTCACCTCTTTCTGTCTGAAACCAGAGCCCAGTCTGGTCTGATTGGTTAGCTGGCTGGCTCTGTTGTGATTGGTCAACCACTTAGAGATGTCCCGCCCCTTATCCTATCACATACATGTGTGGGAGAGAAACTCCCTCAGGAGGGAACACAGGGATTTTAGCCTTTGCAGACCATGCACTAAAACCTATAGAACACTACAGGAAAGGGAGAACCCCAAAAAGCAGAATAGGTTCTCTTAAAGTCACCTCCAAAACAAGGCTTAGAACAGTTTATTTTATTTTAACTGAATAATATTGTATCATTATCAAAAACTATTTTGTTCTCCATATTAGAATTGTATTAAAGCATTCTATTCTGGGAAACAGTAACCATGCAAAAATTGGAATTCAGTAGTTTATTGGAAGATAATTGTCCTGCAGTCCTCCTGTCTGCAGCCTGTTTTCTGCCCTCTTCCCGTGTGCAGTACGTACAATCATGCTACAAGATGTACTGCATTTGGTGCTATCCAATGGAAAAATGACAATAAAAAAAGACATCCACGACATATTAAACCATGATCCAGCCCAGTAGCCCTCGACAATGTGTTTTTTTTATGATTCACAATAACTACAAAACAATTAGGCTCTGATAGAAGTATTAATAATTGTCAATGCCTTTTTCTTCAAATTATAGATATATACAGGCTCAATACTCCCTTCAGAAGAGTATAAAAATCACTATGGGGCATTTATGTTCAAAATGTAATGCAGCGTCCCTCATTTCAAGGTATCTTGAGATTAAAACCACTAACGAAGCCCATTACAAACTACGATGGATTCTGATCATTTCTGAAAATGTAATTTCAGGGTTTTTATTCTTTTACATATCTCCAAGACGTTACATGATACAGAATGGAACAATGCACAAATATTTTGAAGACGCAGAAAACCTTATTTTTCCTCCACATAAGACAAAACGTGGCACAGGAATTATGGCAACGTCACATCAGAAGTCGGTCAGGTGGAAAGATACAGTCCTCATTCTGAACTTGCATTATTTTTAATGTCCGCTTTGTAAAGAAACTTAATTTTTCACAAGCCTTGCATCACTGAGAGGTCTCCTCTGTCACTTCTTGAGATGCCTGCTGTGCCTTGGCAGAGGCAGATCTCAGGGGCCGATCTCAGGGGCCGATCTCAGGGGCCTCTTAACGGCCCCTGGGGTCAGGGGTCCCGGGGGTATTGGCCCCTACTGCTTCATGGTGTTCTTGATGAGCCACCTCTGTCCGGAGCAGGGCCCCAGCACCAGGCGGCTGCTGGCCACCTCCAGACAGCGCCCTGACGCTCGGTTTATGATGGTGTCATTCTGTGGTGGAGGAGAGGGAGGACGTTCATCAGTGTACCATGTGACTGAGAAAGAAAGTGACCCCATCCATGCCTCATTTCATTTCCTCAGCTAATGTATCAAATTACATTTTTTGAATAGTTTGAAATGAACATTATGACATACTATGCTGTCATGTTTTATACGACATACTATTGTGAGATTTTTTAAAACATAATATACTATGACCATTTAAATGAAATGTTTATGCCTACTATGCTATTATTTTTGTGATTACATTTCTTATCTGCATTATATTTTTTAATTGCACTAACATTTCTGAATGACATTTACCGAAATATGATGACATTTTATCAAAGCATTACATTTTAAAGGCATACCCTACGATACAACTTATATTTATTCCTACCTACCATATACAGTATACCTGTACACAGTACACATACAAACTTTCTAATGAATTAAAGTCATGCCATTGTTTTTTCATATTTTACTGTATTTTATGTTTTATTTTGTATTTGACATTCACTTTGTTCCTTTGGATTGTCTAGGTTACAACCTTGACAATCCAATTTAAATTATTCAGTTTTTTCTTCTTTTTTTCCCACACTGTCCTTCATGTTTGTTAATCTGCATAAACTGTAAGACAAATGTACTTCATGATATTAGGCGATTTAAAAAAAGACATTTGATTTATAATATAACATAATAATCTCCTGCCACCAATCTTGATCCAGTCAGACGTCTGAGAGGACCGCTCTATATTTATGAACGCTCTAGTATGGAGTATCTAGTATTTAGGCCGTACATTGAGAACAAATGCAGTTTACCCAGACTGACTATGTAAAAAGCAGTAAGAGACAAAGATCCTTTGAGCAACAGTTCAAAAAGAAAGGAAGAAGGCTGAAGTCATTGGTAAAATACTATGCAGGTAAATGTAGCTTAGAATAAAATGTGTAGATTTAAATAAGAACAGCTTCCTGTTTCAGTGTGAAGTGCACACTAATGTCTCTTACAAGCTGAATCGACAGTAACCTGTGGATTTAGCAAATCTATTCACAGTAGAAACAGAAAGGTAGTCTAGGGTTAGCACTTCTGGAATATCAACTAAATATACTAAGGAAAGTCAAAACTTCAAAGAAAAAGCAGCTTCACTAAATAGCATAATTTCACATTTATGGTTCAAAAACTGTTGATACATTTTCTTGACAAAAACAGTATTCTAATGTAATTCACATATTTCTTAATTTTACAGTTTTTTTTAAGGAAAACAAATGAACATGACAGCTGATTTATTACCAACTGTGTGTCAACAACATGACCACAAGGTAAACATTCAATCTGATTTCATACATCAAAAACAGCTCTGTGTATTTTCTCTACAGTGCAACTTTTTGAGCACAAATCACTGAAATGTAACTTTTTGGAGAACAATCTGTTGTTTCATTATTTCCTCTCCCCCTCACCTGAGAGAAGTGCCAGGTCTTCTGCCTGACGTTGGTCACCTTGTCACAGTTGAGCAGCTGAGGCAGACTGCTGGTCTGGTCATCCACCACGCAGCGGGTCTCGTCCCCCGTGCTGCCCAGGGGCCCCAGGAACAGCTGGCCCTCCCTGGTGAACCGCCCTATCTGAGGGGACACACAATTATGGTGAAATAAAAATAAAATACCAAAAATGTAAAAGTTAAAGTAAAATTTCCAATAAAAGATACAATCATATTTACATAATGTATTTTTATGTTAACTAAAAATAAGAATAATGCAAAAACAAATAAACATAATTAAAGAAACAAGTTAAAGTAAGATGCACAATAAAAGACTAAACACATTTAAATTGAATACAAATATGAAATGTAAAGTAAAAATGTGCTAATAAGGATATAACAAATAAAATAAATGTATATAGACTAGCATGTTAGAGTAAAACGTCAAAGATTAATCAAATACCATTTAAATAATATAAGCGTAAGTAAAAGTAAAAATGTGCAATCAAATACAAAATAAACAAATAATATAAACGTATGTTGGAGTTGCACACTTTCAAAGGGATTTTGGGTGTTTATCGGCTCTGTTCTTCCCCTCCCTCCCACTGCCACACATGGGGTCTAATCGCCAAACACCATTACATTTATCTGTGCATTCTTGGTAATACATTTATTTTGGTAAATCAAAACTTGTCTCTCCTGATTGAACTGTTACATTTTACGTCTAACCTTATGTTTTATAAGACGTTATAGTCTAGGGACCACTTTTTTCAGATGGAAAACTTGAAATTGGCTACTTAAGTGCGTCTTCAGGGTGATAGCTCTGCTAGTTTTTAGCACTTGTTTACCACTGTGAGCTAAAAGGAGATGCCCCGCAGGCTGAAGCACTGACATTGGCTGACTTCAGCACAAAAAGTGTAACATGTGAACATTTTCTTCCTGACGGCAGAACTCTCTCCTAAGAGGATTCCATTGCAGCCTGTGTGAGAGACACAGCTGTAAATCATGTCACTGTGTGGAAGACACTAATGAGTGGTGTAGGTTTTGAAGAGGAAGCAGAGACATGGTGAGAGAGGCACTCTGAGGCAATTAGGTCAAGGGTTCGGTGTTACCTGAGGCCCTGTGCCGTGGCAGGGATGCAGCGTGGCCGTGTGGTTCTCCTTTATACCCTGATCCATACACAGGTGGCTGGCGTTGGAGTTACGAATCTAAAATAAAAAGCATCTTTGAAAATCATGCTCAATAGAGTAATGGGCGAACAAGTCTTAACAACCGATTATGAGTCTGCATTTTACCACTTCCAAAATGTGTAATTATCATAAACTAAATAAGTTGGTTTGCTACAGAGCTAATGTTCAGCAATATTCCCAAATCATTGCTTTTTGCTGAGGGTGCCCTTGTGATGCTAACTTCCTGTTTATAGTACATCAATTTGTCATTACTGCACCACTTTATCTAATTTGGCACAATTCTTTGTTTAAATTCCTAATCAAAGTCAAAAGTCAACTTTATTATCAATCTTGTGTGTGAGATACAGTATTAAGGTAAGGTAAGTCAGCATGTTATGTACATATCAGTAAGATAAAATCACCTGAATCCAAATGCAGATTAAACATTTTTAAAACATTGTACAATGCTTTACAGTTTTAAAATGGCACAGCTCAGACAGCATGTAGGGACATAATCTATGAGGTGTTATTTTAAATAGCCCTTAGGATGTATTTGTCTAATCTATCACTGACTCATCTGTTCTCGGTTGTTTCATCCAAGCTTCTCCTTCCTGTTTGTGCTGACTCACCTCTCCGTAGAACACCGTGTTGTTGTACCTCCTCATCTCTGGGTAAACATTGTCCAGGTACCACTCGAAGCTCTTACACTGCAGCCTCTTCCTGAGAGCCACCCTCTGAGAGATGTCTCCGTAATCAATACCGTGGTTCTACAAGAGCACAGCAGTCATTATGGGATGTCTCTGCTTTACAGAGGACTTTTTCAGTTTACCACATGAACAGTTGTAATAATGATCCAGAACATTTAACAGAAATGCTGCTGTTGTCTACTGATTACTAGCAGAATATTTTGATAAATCCGATTTCATTAGATTAGATAACAGATTCTTAAATTGATCCCGGATTAAGATTTGTTCTTGTAACAGCAACATAAAAAATACATCATTACAAATGTAAAACACAGTAAATATATGCTTATTAAGAATATAAAGATATATCTATAGAGCACACAATATAAAGACACAATGTACAAATATAAACAATAAGTTGATCGTAAATCAACTATGAGATATATCAATACATTATAATGTGTGCAATAGTTTAATTTATTGAAATGGGGTACATTTTGAGTACAACATCTACAAATTGTTCAGGATGATTAGAGGTTTAAAAAAAGTATTCAACCAATTCCCAGTTTATAACAAGTTGTAGCGAAGTCCTGCTTATGTTAAAATAAAAGATGAGCACACTTAGCATTAGCAGCCACCATGGTTAGCTTCATCCACAGGCCCAGCAGCCCAGCAGCCCAGCAGCCCTCACCTCCATGGGGATGTTCCAGGCCAGGTACACGTTGGACTTGTACTCGTCCAGCCAGACCTCGGCCACTCGCAGAGCGTTCCGCCGTGTGTGCAGAGCGATGTTACTGAGGTAGGGTTTCTTCATCCGGGCGATGTGAGCCACCCTGGAGCAAGGCAGCACCTCCATACTGCCTCCACACAGCCACACCTGCAGGGAGGGGGTGTTAGAGAACAGGGAAGTCAACTTAAAGCTAGCAGTTATATATGTTTGGCCACAAGGGGGCATACAATTTAAAGACAGGCTGACCTAATGAACTACAACCGTACATCTACAGTATATTACATGGACAGTGTTTACTTATAGAGGGTGGTAGGGTAGTAGGTCAATCTGTAGGGACTTGGCTTGGCAACTGAAGGGTCACCGGTTCAAGTCCTGATCCAACTAAAATGCAGAGCCTTCTTACTCTGACACCTCTCCACTAATGCATGTGTAAAGATCGAGTTTGTTCATTTCCGTGATGCAATGTAAATAAAACCAGCGTAAAACATTACTTTATTTCTTTATTTCTTCATATATTAGGACTGTGACTTATACCTGAACATAGCCATGTGAATATATTTATCCAGAATGATCTTCACTCATATCTGTGTATACTGTATATCAATTCAGCTACTTGGTGTTTTACTGTTTCTTTTTTGTTATTTATATTCTTAGTTTTACTAACATATTTACTTATATATTCTTGTTATCCCTGCATGAACTCCTATCTGTAATGGCCTATGTTTCACTCTGAATCTGTTACTGCTATGACAATGAAATGTCCCCAAATGGATAAATAAAGACTTATCTTATCTAATTTTTTCTTACACTGTTGGCGGGGCCCGGGATTTAAGATTGTCATTGCCAACAACTACACTGTAGCTTTTGTGTGAATCTTTAAATCCAAAACCCTATGTGTGTAACACTAACAGCATGCATGGAGCAACATTAGCAGTGTGGTATATATCTAGCTTATATATCCAGCTAGGTTCTGTCTGTCTGCTGTTTGGTGCATGGCAGGAAGTATACAGCGTATATCAGAGCTTTTTGCTGGTAGTTGAGGAGACTGAACCACACAGTAATTATGCCATAAACTAAAACAAAGTGCTGAAAGAGGCTGTAATGTGCCGTTGAGGTGCAGAGCTGGATATTCATTTTATGATCAGGGCCTATTTACAGAGACATTTTATTTAATGTTCATAACTATGGGCTCAGAACAGTCTCATAATACACACATGCACACAGAAGGATTCACACTTGTATTTCATGATCCGCAAAAGGATTCACACTTGTATTTCATGATCCGCAAAAGGATTCACACTTGTATTTCCGGATCCACACTTGTGTTTTTCAATGCATACACAAATGTGTTCCGTTTCATATACATGTAAATAAAATCCAAACACAGAAAAAAGTTTTACATATGTATTTTTGATCCTCACATATTTGTTTTCCGTTTAAATCCCCTGAACCTGCAAACACAAACCGCTTTCTGTGCATGGATCGCTGTGCATTCGTGTGTGGGTTTTTTGAGACTCCCCTGACGGTCACCCTATTCGTACTTGTAATTTCTCTCATCTATAGCCAATCAGATGTCTCCTCCAGTCTAAGCCAATCACATGAGCGCGCCCCCACGAGGGTATGATTTCTTGCGTTCATGATACTTCATATATACGCATTTTGCGCAGTCCGGTCAGCTCGCTAAACAGAGGGTGGAGCATCAGGTGATCATGTAGAGCTGCGTGTCTCCGTCAGACTCAGCAGCTGATCTGATCTCTCTCTCGCGTCCGGTTATACTTCACTCGCGTTTATGTCCATATCGATCAGATCCAGCTCTCCTGATCGGCCTTTAGAGCACCGATCAAACTATTTAGAGTGAATA